ACAAAATAGCATTTGTTTTGCATGAGAATGAGCATGAGAATTGCCTGCAAGTCAAATTCCTTGGCCCGTTTATGCTTGTGTTTGATCTCATCCAAATTTGCGCAGAATGACAAGATGTTGCATGTTCATAGAGTTTTAGATGAATTCATTTGGAAATAAAAATAATTCCTAGCTCTCCTGCAGCACCTTTCTTCAGTTGATTTGCAGAACAGTTTGCAAAGGCAAATATTAGAATTTACTGAGAATTTTCCAACAAAACTTTTCAATCAGAAAATGCCAATTTAAGCAAAACCAAATATGCTTGCAGGAACTGCTCAGTTTCACCTATTCTCCAATTAAAAAAAAATTTGCTCAGGTCCATCCTGGCTGAGTTTGGGGCGGGGGGGAGGGAGCATGAGATTGGGTAGTGGGGGCAGAGAAGCAGCAGCAGCAGTATGGAAGCAACTTTTAGGTCCCCTGCCCCAGCACAGCTACTGCCTGGATAGAAGCTGTGTTCACACTACAGGCCAGGGAAAGGCAGAAGAAGGGAGAAGTGGCAGTGATGCAGGGGCAACACGCAGTTGTGTAGTTCCACTGAGGGCACAGGGAAAGCCTCCCAGCCACCCCCACTGATGCTGCCAAAGCCACCCAGCCTGCACCAGGCTGGGCCCAGGTTGTTCCAGCAAACAGCTTGAAAAAGGTTGTCAGCTCCTGGGTTAGACAAAGGAAGAGTTTATGGAGAATAGATGGGGAGGTGCTAGAAAGGTCACAGCTGCCTTTCATATCTGCAACCAGGTCAGCCTTGACAGACTGCGTTGAACAAGAGCATGAAGTGGATGATGTGTGACAGTCTCCTATGTCTGCGTGCACCCATTTCTCACTCCCAACAAGGTGCCAGACACTTGTGTCCAGGGTTTTTCCTTCTGCTTTATTGGTAAAAAAATACTACATCACGGAGGTTTCACATAAGCAGAGAAAAATAGTATTAAAAAAAATCTAAGCTATGGAAAGAGGTTGGACAGTTTCCTCAGAAGTAATTTTATACTGAAGAATGGTATTTATTTCAGAAAAACTATTGTGTTGTGTTTCTGCTCCCCTTTTCTTCTGGAATAAATTGAAAAAATGCTGAAGGAAAGGAGCTGTGTGTCTGTGTCCTTTGATTTTTTTTCTTTTAATAAATGTTTGTTATGGAGAATAGTTCAACTCACCTATTAAAAATATTTCATCCTGCTAATGATACAGAAGCTAGTTTTCTCTTTGACTATTTATTGATCATAGTGTTTGGTCACTGAAATCCATTTATTTTATTGCTGCTGACCTTTTACTGTGTTAATAAACTGTATCAGATGGCTTAACACCTGGAATAGGTCTCTCTTTTTACCCTGTTGCTACTCTCTGAGTGACTGAGCCTTTAAAAACAAAAGAGAAGGACCCATAGCATTTTAAGATGGCTACCTGATATGAACACATTTGCAAGAATTTTTACTTTCTCTTCTTTCTTAGAAAAGTAAGAAGCCACGAACTGTTCATAGGAAACAGCACAAAACAAGATGCTCATTTTTATTGGAAGAAATATTTCTGGAGACTGAGATTCATAGTTCTTCTACTCCTTGAGTTATTAAAAAATACGACCTTTTCCTCCACAGTGAGAGAGGGAGTATATAAGCAGTTCTAATATTGGAAAGTGAGGAAATTGACTAGTTTGAAAATATTTTCAGTTTTAAAAATCTTGTTAAAAAGAAAATGTTTTTTTTTTATGGTCCTTCTCAGTATTTCATAGCATTTCAGCTGGTGTTTATGCAGCTCTGTTACCAGTTAAATTGCAGGACTGACCTTTTCAGGCTACCACCTTTTCCCCATCCTCCTCTTTTTATTCCTTAATAGAACACCTGCATTGCCACCTCTTGACTATTTTGTATTACAGCAACTAGTAGGGAGTGATCTGTGGGGTGGAAGTGAAGAAGAATTAGGTTTTATACACTCCGCTTACACATCATTACATCAATTAATTTGTCTGGTGACCGCCATGGACATTTTCATTGATATAGTGCTTATACCATATCTGGCATAGATCAGACCTGACCCAAATTATTGTATGGCAGTGTTAGATTGATGGTGTAGCTCTGATGGTCCAGGAATTATGCAAGAGGCAAGGATTTCTTTGGGTGATATCTTTTATTGGACCAACTGTTTAGTTGGAATAAAGTTAGACACGCTTTCCAATGCAAAGCCTTCTTTTTCAGGTCACAGCTTATTATACCACACATTGGTGATTATGAACATTTATTACTAATGTTGCTTGGAAAAAGGAAAATAACTCCACATTGGAGCACATCACTGCTTACTTGGGAGAAGAAATATAACATCACTTTTTCCTCCAGCTTAAGCACTGTTTGGTACAAAAGCCAAATGGAGGTGTTCTTTCTCTCGAATCAAAGACCAAATAAATCCAAAAACATACTCAACTCACCATACTTTTAAAAAATGGTAAAAAAGGGTAAAAACAAGCAAATAAAAATGCTGAATGAACTGTATTTAATATTGGGCCAGAGAATATACTTTGTGATTAGGAAGATCCCTCCATATTTGATTACCTCTTTTCACTGTCCCTGAGAAGAAATAGTGCTTATACAAAAACTACAGTAGAGTTGCAATAAGATGACCCCCTGCTAACCTTTGATACAGAGTGAACCCATCTCCCAGAAACTGCCAGAGAAAATATTAAATGTAAAATCAGCCAGAAAGAAAAAGCCATCTCTACTGGGCTTAAGAGACTTTGTATGTAACAGAGGCTCTGAAAATGTGTTGACTTGTACATTACAGATTCTCTTAGTGCAGAATAGCATGAATGAGACAACAGTGGCATCTAGTGTTCAGCGAGCTCTTACAAGCAAGGTTTTATAAGGTGAAAAGGCTAAAAGGGGCTTTAACTGGCTGAATGCCTTGGAGTGAACTGTGCAATCACTCTTGCAGAGTGAAATTCACTCTCCAGGTATGAGTTCATACATATCCCTGAAGAATCACCCATGTAAGACCACAAATAAGTGGAACAAATGATATTTAGGCATTTTATGCATCCTCCCTGCACAGAGATGAATTTTTACTTCTAACGAGAGCAAGTCCATTTAGTAGAGTGCCCTGCTCGCGTGAAGGCCTTCAATGCAATGAGTCTTCCAAAGGAGAATCTTAAGGTACAATATTCCTCTGATCAGTTATGTATGTACTACATGCATTATATTTTTGGAGGGGAAATGCTTTAAATGACATTGCAGCTCAGACTCAGGACCAAATTGGAGGAAGAAAGCATGAGAAAAGTATGTGCCTCTGCCGAATTATCATTCTCCAGGCAATGTGAGTGTTTCTGACCTGCCTACATTTTATTCTTGCTCCTTTCTCATTCTCTGATCCTGTACTTTATTAATAGAGAGTCCCAGCATACCTTATGTGTCAGCATTCCTCACAGACAGTCTCTTGCTTATGTTCTTCTAACCCGTGCTTCGTCTCCTGAGGATCTGAGGTATCTAAGTAAAAATCTTCAAGACTCTAAGTTACTTACAAATAACCAAACAGATTTAAATGCCAAATTTACCATCTCGTTTTCAATATCTACAACTGGAGAACAGCATCAAATACATGAGTAAAGAGTTTCACCATTAAGTGCAGTGGGGATGAGAGGAAACTTCTGTCTCCATATGTTCTATATTCTTCCTTTTCTATGCTTCTGAGCTCCCACAACCACTAATACAATCTATTGCTCTTTTTAGGCTGCTTCTTCCCTATGTTGGGTGAAAGCCACTTCAATCCGCTTATACAGTGTATCTTGTAGTGTGTGGTATGGTATAGGACAATAGCTAGAGAAAAGAATTCATGCTTTAAAAGGCCTCGTTTGTGATATAGCTAACAAACATTTCCCCCCAAACCTAAATCCTGCACTGTTGAACAAGGCTAACAGTTGAACAGTTCTGCAGTAGCGCCATTGAATGATTCCCAATAATTTCACACCATGGAAAAATATGGCTATGGAGAGAAACCACTTTTTTTATTTCTTGAAAAATGAAAGGGGGGACTTGCTGCTCAGGAGCTGGTAATTAGCTGCTACCATGCAACCATTACACCTGCATGCTCCAGTAGTAGCCTAATTAGAGATAAATCGCTGTAAATTTACCCCTGAAACAGGTTTAATGTCCCAATGTTTTTGTTCCATTTATGCAGCTATAGGAACACGTAGAAATAACAGCTACATCATAACAGCTGTTCCAATATCAAGTGATACTTGTATAATCTGTTACACCAATCTACACCGTTACAGTTTAACTACGCCTGGATCTTCTAGCTCAAGTGCTGTTTCTACTATACAATTTCTAAATTGTTTGATCCCTTTTTTATGAAACAGTACCTTCACACTGCAGTCTCTATAACAGTGACCACCATGCATTAACATAGATAGGGAAGATTTTTAAACATTAACTGGATAAACATATACTTCCTGAATAAAGAAGGGGAAAACATCAACAGGAAGTGAGCAACTGACTTCTCCACAGGACTGGAATTTAAAAAGCAGTCTAAATGAGGTAGGTGCCCAAACACCATTGAAATTCAAAGAAGAACAGGTAATTAATTCTCAGAGGCTCGTATGAATATAGTTGTACTCAATAAAAATTCATTGCCCAAGCACATAGTCAACAGGCCTCGACAGTATACCCTCTATGAACACCCACACACTTTAGGTACTTTTACACGTGCTCCGGGAGTGGAAGGGTGAACGAGCTTTAGTTCAATTGCCCCCACCACCATTTTTAAGCACAGAGATGCTGATGCACAAAACGCAGGAGGCTGCTGGAGCACAGCAATTGCCGCACTCCAGCAAACTCAATTAATTAATTGAGTTTGCTCCAACGCACTGGAATTCCAATGTGTCAGAGAAGCCTCCGCGCTTGTGTATAGGTGCCCCTTATCAGTAGCAATCAAACTGTATGTTGCTACTTGCGATACATCCTGAAGTTATGAAGAGACAGTCACCATTATTTTCACAAGAAATTTTGTTTATTAAATTAATGTTTCATCAACATATAGAACCAATAGGGGAAACATTTTCCAGGAAGATTGACAAAATTCATAAATACATATAATTTTCTAACATTATAGGTATAAACAAATAAAAGCTCTATCTTGCTATTTTGTTTTTTGGGAAGCCACTGAAATTAACTCTCAGTTGGCCATTGAACAAGCAGCAATGAACTCCTGCTGATTCTAAAACGACTATGTCCCCTCTCTAAAACTTGCTCATTACCAGTCAAAAATGGCAAGATAAAGTATAAAGGACATTTATATTAAAAGGCTTGTTTCACAATTTCTTATAATACATCTCTTTTCCCCTAATAAGCAGTACACTTCTCTCTTCTAAAAATGCAGCTATAATAAGCAAAGCTTTCAAAAGTGACCAGTGATTTGGGGTGCCAAACTTGAGGCACCTTAAAGAAGACTGATTTTTCTGGAACTGTGCTCATTGTTTCCTGAAAAACAGCTTCCTTTAAGTTGCCAAGATGAGCACCCAAAAAAATGGACATACCCTTATATTGTTAGTCACCTGCAAAAAGTTTTACAGTGATCCAGTGAAAAAGCTTCAGTAATCCAACATCGCACCTGCTTTTCAAAAACCATCTTTAAAACAGAAGCTTACTGGGAAATACATGTGGAGCAAGGAACCCTTGTATCCATGCTAGCTTCGTGCTTGAGTTATACAGCTCAGTCTTTAAAAATCATGGAGAATTTTTTATCTTCACAGAGCAGATCCAGCAGAAAAAAGTCAAATCGCACTTCTCAGCTGACCTCACCTTCAAAGAGTAACTACAGGGCTGCAAAAATAAGAAGGGATGGGGCATTCTTTTGATGTAGTACTAATGATGAAACTGGAGGTGGTGCTTCTGTCAACTGATGCTGTGAAATTCTGATAAGTGTAGTCTTTTCACATGCAGCTAAATCCACCAACAAGTTTATTCACGTACCACTTGTTGAGCAAACTCCTGAGTGTGGCTGCCAAGAGGGTGGGAGACAGCCTCATTTATGTAACATACGGCACTGTCCATTTTAATTGAGGGACAAAATTGTCATACAGCAAAATTTAATTAATCTGTAGCCAAACAAGGTCAAAATCTTTCCACTGCAGGTTCTCCTGGCTATCAAAGACAATGGAGGGAACAAAGAAGTTGGGGCTAGAAAAAGATATTTTTATGTGGTGCTGGAACTAGAGATATCACAGCTTTTACAGCTAGTAATAGTAAGACTGTACAATGGATTCCATTATTCACTCCCCAAATACGGGCCCATATTCATTTGTCAATTGGTCTCATATCCTTCCACCAGCAAGAAAGTTGATACCTGCGCTTTTTCCATTCCCCTGGGAGACATCCCTGTGTCAAGACTGCCCACTAGTCCATTTTGATTCTCTTACTGTACTTCCCTCACCTCAACACACAATAAATAAGTCATGTTACTTGTACACTCTACCTTTGCTGGTCCGTTCTGAAGGAGGAAAATTGCATGAGCCAGCTCCAAACAGGAAAATGAAACCCATTGCTCCCTACACTCCCTGCACTCCAGGTAATCCTTTCATGGTTTTGAAGCAGAGAGGCACTGCATTTCTTTTGGACAGCTGTCTGCTTGAGCTGAAATGGGTCTCTTTGGGTACGTAACGCTGGCGATCTTAAAGAATTCATCTGCGGCATCAAGAGCAATCAGACGATCCTGCCAAAGTAAGAGAGTTAGAACGATTAGTATCCCAAGATCTGCATTCATGCCCACTCAAGTCTCAGACTGGCTCTCCTCAAGTTTAGAAAAACCATGAAGCCTTTTCCATCACATCATGCCAGCATTGTCATTGCAACTACGAAGAAAGCAACAGCACAGACTTTCACTAAACCAGTGCTAGTCAGGCTGATGCCCTCCAGTACAGAAGCCATTGTATTTGTGCCAAAGGAAGCAAAAAGGTCAAGCCACAAGTGCAGTCTTACATTATAGCTTCTTGCAGATGTGAAAATAAAAATAGTGCTTTGCTTTAAACTCAGCATACTCCTGTATCGAGTCCAGCACACACCAAGAAGAGCCATTGAGTTAGCTGGACTCAACTCACCCAACGTCTGTATAGATTAGGCACTTCAGCGGGGCTTTTTGGTGCTTTTATCTAGCCATTGATTGAATCAGCTTTAGGTAAAAGAGCCAAAAAGCCACACTGAAGTGTCTGATCTATACAAACACTGCAGAGCTGGGTCAAACTAAGATGCTGCTTCTTCCAGTAAAGCATGGGGGGGGGTGCGGTTCACACGTGTCAGCAGCCTTGATATTCATGTCTGACATCTATTGGAATTGTATCCAGCACAATCTGCTACTAGTGGCATTGTTTGTGCCCACAGTTGTAGAGCCAGAGGAGTTCAAACAAAATAGGAACACTTAGTTACCTACCACCACAAAGAGGTATCTTTCAGACAGTTCCCAGCTTGCAGGAAAAAGGTTGGTCTCCTCAGAGAGCTTTAACAGGATCTCCCGGGCTTTACCCGTGTTTCGGGAATCATTGACAACACTAAGTTTAGTGACTGATAGCAGGGAATCTGCTTCCTTCTGGAAACCTAGAAGAAAGGTGTCAAGTCAGTTTTAAGTCAAAGTAACCAAATGTGACAGGGTGTAAATGCTGCTGTCATGGGAATCATAAGGGGACAAACGAGAGAGAAAGCATTCAAAAATTCAACACATGCACTGCATCTATATGCACGGCACTGAATAAGGAGATGCGCTTGTGCTTATATGGTCCTTGCAGGGTGCTTGTGTGTATAGCAAGTAAATTCAAAATAACTTGCCTGCTCCCCACACACCTTGGTGACTACAAGCAAGGGCTGCACATTTTCAGTATTTCTCTGATCAAAATAATGAAAGGAAAAAACCAACCTGGTACAGCAGTAAATGTGAAACAGTAAGCAATTTTTTAAAGGAGTCTTCCCATGGAAGAGGGCTGAGCATAATCTCTAAGATTTCTTCATAGCTCCAGCCACAGAAAATCTGTGGTAACATATGACAGAAGATTTGTACAGAAAATTTTATGGTCTTGTGATTAAGGCATGGGACTAGACAGCAAAATATCTGCTTCTGCCACAACTTTGTGGATTTACTATAATCCCATCCAATGACTGCTCCATGTCTCAACCTTCTCCACTTGTGTGTAAAATAAGTACAGAACTACCTGGCACAACTGCTTTTTGAAGAGTACTTTATTATAGTAGTATCTTACGCCTAAGGACCTCAATATGTTAGTACTCTAATACCGTGCATCTACTGTAGACTTTAATCTAGATGAGATGGAGAGGCAGGTAGCTTGTTTTAGCTTGTAAAAGGCTAAAGGGGAGAGAGGAAGAGAGGTTGCTAACAGATGGTTTGTAGAAGCTAATCAAGTCTGACTGACCCAGATAAGTGCTGATGCACAATTATCTTTATGAGATTCCCATTCAGGGAATCTGATTCTTTATGAGATTTCCATCTTTATCAGATTCACATTCAGGGACAAAGAACTCTGATCCTAGTGCTAATGCCCTTTCTCTGTCTAGGAAAAAGCATGGTAAGTTACACTCACTGGGCTTTATTCTCATTGGTCCCTCATCTTTTATAGGCAGGCAATATCTGTAAGTCACTAGATTTCTGATGTGCTGGAATCTGGTCTCTATTTTGTCTAGGTGTCAGTAATTACACAAGGGGCAAGGTAATAAGGAAATCAGGCCCAACATACCATTTCCAGACACCTCCAGAGGGCACAGTCAGAAGTGCCTTGATCAATAAATTGATTTTACTGGTCTCCTGATAGCTCAACAGAGCAGTGGAATGGAAAGGTGGACTTGCCAAGAAGTTTAACTTGTTGACACCATACTTCAGTTTGCTTACAACTGTGCTGTGACGGCCAGAACCACAGGGATTAATAAGCAATAAATATGTGCTTCTTAGAGGCATTTAGTATTTTGCCTAAACAGGTAATATTAGTTAATATAAAGCTTGTAAGTTTGGAAGCCACAAATGTAACTTGTCTGTCGTAAGTTTAACCAAAACGATAAAATTAACTGTTCATGGAACTGACTGGGCCCCACAGGCAAAGCTGTAGCTGTGAGATTAGCTGACCTAACAGTTTCTGTTCAGGATTCAGCTTTGACGATAAAAACTAGATCCAACTGCCTGGCACACCCAACACATTCCAGGAAAGCATATTCAAATGAAACCTAAAAAGGGTTGGGGCTTAGGTGGAGCAATGCCAATTTCAAACCTAAAGGTGCTGCATTATAATTTGCTTACTGGATAAACCCAAGTCTGGGTAGTAACCCTTTACAATAATTTTAATACCTTTCAATCCCATAGGGTAACAGCTATAGGGCAACATTATGAGTGGCTCTAAAGCCAACAGATTAGCATAAGACTAGGTATAAAAAGCATGTGCATCAGCTAACCAGCAGGAAGGAGGGAACAGAACAGTCATTTCTGTTTCACGCCCGGACCCCAGACTCCCGGTGTGAGTGAGGATCAGCTCCTGATCAAGGGACCTTCCCCAGTAATCCCTCCGACAGCATCAACTGGGGATGCCTGACTTAGCTGGAATCACTTGATGCGCACCTGGCATTAAGGGACTATCAATAAAGTTACCAACCCATGTCTGTCTATCTGTTGTTTTGAACAGCCCAGTGGCTAATACCCTTGCAGTGCCCAGCTGGCCTGTGAGAGAACTGATCTATCTGTTGTTATTAAGTGTTATTTACTATTAGCTCTTTAATACTGCATTATCTGCTTATAGCATTTATCTTTCTGTTAACTGTTGTATATGTGTAAACTATAATAAATTTGCCTTCACTTCACTCCCAACTTCGCCTCCTCGATCCAAAACTGAATCAAACAGCCCAGTTGGCCTGTGATGAAACTAATACACTCACAGTGCCCAGCTGGCCTGTGACACTCTGCAGATCTGGTGATATTCACTGAATGGGGTTGAGTGGGGGAAGAATACTTCATCATTTTTTTTTAATTGGGAAGATATTTTTGGCTTTTTAAAAAAGAAATCTGTTCTCTCTCAGAGTTTCTGTCTCACTCATAAAAATTGCATGATAAAATCCTTTTTTACTATAAAAAACTTCTGCAAGTAGTGTAACATTCTTTGCAGCAGCAAGACATTAGCTGTCGTGGGCCCCCTGCTTTACTTGCGTCAGGTTAGGGGGTTATGTCTTGTGGTTGTGTCAGGGTTGACTATGTAGTTTTGCTAGTAGGTTAGACCAGAGGTTCCCAAACAGTGGGTCATAACCCCAAATGGGGTTGCGACATCAGCAGATGCGGGGTTCTAGTTGGGAGTGAGGGGCCACGCTGAGGAAAAGGGGTCATGCTGATGAAAAGTTTGGGAAGCATTGGGTTAGACAATGGATTTGTGTATGACAGTTTGGATGGGGGGGGCAGACTAGATGACCTCTGGAAGTCCCTTCCAAACATATTTTTCTGTGATTTAAGTGGACTTTAAATAAATAGACATCATACATGTCATTGTGAGGTAGAAGTGTGCACACTTGTTTCTACTAGCTGGAACGCCTCCACCACTGCTCACTATAACCACGCTACATAAACTTTGTGAAATACTTCTCATTTCACAGTACATTATGCTGGGAAGGGATGAGCATGCCATCTCCCCATACTGCTAAGAATAAATACATGTAATTTTGTCCTCCAGTTTACCTAACTCTTCCAAAATGTGCTTCCACCTGCTTCTCACTTCCCTTCGTGTTTGCCGCAAGGTATAGATGTCATAGTTGAGTTTTTGCCATTCCTGCAAAAAAATGGGAGAATAAAGATTCAGTGTTCTTCACTGCAAGACACCTCTCCTACAGGTTTTTTTCCCATTGATTTCTCCTCACAGGAACACTCTTTGGTCAGATTATATTGCATTTTGAGAGGTGTATGCAACAGTAACATTTTACAGGCCAGATCTGCTCCCTGTATAGAAGTGGGTCGTAAGTGTTGACTTTACTAATACAAATGCATTTAATATTTGAACACTGTTAGCAGGGAATGAATGCAGTCATGGATTAAGTGACCTGGAGCATATCAGCATGAATATCATTCACATGTCAGCATAAGGTTAGTTCTAATTACGAAGCCAATTATAATTGCAATTTGAGAATATCTGCTCATCTTTTTAATAGTGTTATTAGACCTAGAGCTGGTTGAAAAGTAAAAAATATTGAATGAGAGCTCTTATCTTCTTTTTGATGAAAATATGAAAACCAAAACACAATCTTTTTACTTGCATGAAAAAAAGAAATGGACATTTTCTTCCTAAAGTCCATTTTTCATCAAAACCAAACACTGATCCCCCTTAGAATGTTATTAGACCCTGTTTGTCTACCACCGATGTCAGCAGCCTGGCACCCACTTACTTCAAGATAAATTAGGTCAACTAACTCATGAACATTTCTCAGATTTCCTTGAGAGTTCAAAACAACTGCATTCTGCCCCCTCACTTAAACTGGGGTAACTCCCAAGGTAGTCTACAGACTTTAAGTCACACTGAAGTTCGATTGCAGATTATAGCTTAAAAGAAAGACTACTTTATTCGCGATTTGTAGACAGGAAACATCTAGAGCTGTACTTCAGACCTCAGATGGATTATTGTAGTTTGAAGAGAATACGATAATTCCCAATTTTACTTTTAAATCAGTCAGGTCTGAAGCTCAACACACACACACACACACACACACACACACACACACACACACACACACACACACACACACACACACACACACACACACACACACACACAC